ATTTAATAACTATTGTCAGTAACACTTGCCTTAGCGAAGAAGGTTCGTACGCTCAAATACCTTCAGTGCGAGGTACGCACTACTATGCAGCGGTGAAAAATCATACTGCGCCGGATGTCGATGTGGTCAGCACTGCCGTGTCCATAATCGTTAGCACTAGTAAGTATTTCTCTTAGATTAACCCACCTCGGTAGTTAGCTTCCAGCATGCCCGAGAAATGGAACGGCAATCTGAGCGCGGGATGCTGCCATCGACAGACGATACAATTCCCATGGGCCTTCCAGCTAAGCGTGCAATGTGAGTATTGTGTTTTTTATTTCCCCTTAGACGCCGGCCCGTCCGTTCTAGCTCCGATGACGAGGATGCCGCGCGTCCAAGCAAACCCAAAAGGCCTTCTGCAGCAACCTACGCACGCGCGCCCTCCTCTCCGTTCAGTGGCATTAGTCCGTCGCGTCCAGGACCATCAACAGGAAACCGTAAGTATCGATTTCATACTGCCCCTATTAAACAGTAATCTCGCCCCCAGTTATTGCTGACGTCCCACCAAGCAATCTGGATGTGCTGCACGAACTGCAGGCCATAAAATGTAAGACGCCACAGATGTTTTGCATTGCACTCAGCCTTATTTTTAGATGAGTTGTGTCTCATTCGATCAGAATTGGTCGGTCATCGCCGCATGTCCGAAGTGATGTTGCAAATGCTACAACGACAATCCCAAAATGTTGCGCAGGGACTATCTCTGCCATTCATCTCTCTCTGTGAGCTAAAGAGATATGATGAACGGCTGAAGGACCCCGATTTCAAAATCAGAGTCGTAAGTTCGTCTTATTATTCAACTACTTTAGATCAACCATTTATGTGCTGTGCACGGTGATAACATACAACTCATCGTCCGGGGTACCATGGAGCGGCTAATGACAAGATCAGTTGCCGCGGAGATAAATTACTCCGGCGCTAAAGGTTCGTTTGCATTCAGGCGAACAAATATGAACGGCCTTGTACAAGGTAGGTTGAAATGCAGTAATCCATAAAAATTACCTAGGCCTCATTCTGCAACGCATGGGTGATGCAGCCTCGGATGCTGACATTACACGGCACATCAAAACGTGGTTGCATTCTGCACGGCACAAAAGACCGCCGGTTGAGCAAACTAAAGTATGCAGTGCGAATGAGGTGAGTCCCCTGCTTCCTTAGGCACATCTTTAGCCTCCTACGTTGACACTCGCGGAAGTGGATTAACAATATTGACTATGCCGCTTTCTGCTACTAAGGTTCTTTGTACTGCACCCATTCATGTATATATAGCATTCCTATACCTCGGTTTTAATTTTCTTTCGCCTTGTGATGTCAGGTGCGCGGTAAGAGCAGTTTCCTTTTCTGACCAACAGCTTTGAGTCGCCGCCTAGGTGGGTTCCCAAGTTCAGAAACTACCGCAACTGGTACCAGGTGAACACTAGGTCCGAGCCGTCCATATATTCGTTAGGCGCATAGGGCGTTCAAGTGTATTGTCCGTATTCGGATACCCATGGGAGGCAATGACGGGATCTGGACCAACCGGATTGTCACGCATAGTGGTGAACTTCTATTGGTCAGCGCTAGCATCATCTTCATTGGTCCAACGTAAACTGGACAGGAACCCTTTTTAGCCGTCTCACGGTAATACTTCCTGTCCAGTTTAGCCTAATGCTCTCATAGGAACGTTTAGGATGCTAAACTGGACAGGACCTGGACATGTGCTACCAGGGATCAGCTTTGTATCGAACGAAGAATCGTAAACTTATGGAATACACTACCAGAAGGATTAATAGAGGCCGATTCTGTGAAGTGTTTTAAAACCCGTATCGACGATTATTTTGGAAACCTGTGCTTTTGTGAAACGATGCACATACGGTGCCAAAAGAAGACATTGTATGTCCGGAAATAATTTCGCTAGTACAAATTTCTAACCGAACACGGATAAACGATTAATGGACCAGACACAACTGCTGATAATTCACAAGTAAATTTTGATTTTTCGTAATTCGATAGAGTTGTACAGAAACCTTTCTACTCGCTCTTAAATACAGTCTCAGTCTCAGTCTCATGCCCGTTTCTTTCAGACGCACAGTCTTCGACACCTTCCACTCTCCATCACATCCGGTATCCGTGCATCTTTGAAACTGATCACCGAACGTTTTGTTTGTCCATGCGTAAACAAAGATGTCCGTACCTTGACTCGCACCTACCTTCAAATGTCAGCGTTCTAAAATACGTCGTCACAACTGCAGTCCTCTTGGCTCATTTCCCGTCCGGACTCTCGGTTCTCGCATGTACAGTTAGACTTACTAGGTCCTTTGCCTCTTTCACGCGGATTCATATACATTCTTACATGTGTTGACCGCTTCCTCAGATAGTCAGAATCTATTTCCGTACCAGACTGCACAGCTGAAACTGTTATCCGGGCCTTCTTAGATCGGTGGGTCTCGCACTACGATTGCCCTTCCTCCATCACAACTGACCTTGGAATGCCCTTCGAATATTCACAATACGAAACGTTATGCAAAATTTTAGGCTTCAGCCGCATTCATACTACAGCGTATCACCCCACATCCAACGGATTAATCCTACGCTTCCATAGCTTAAAGGCTCGCTCTGTGCCTTCTTTGACCCTAACTGTAGCGAAAACGTTGCGCTCGTACACTTAGGCATTCACAGAGGCATCAAAACTGATTTGCAAAGTGCACCGGCGGAGCTGGTTTACTGCACAACGCTGAAATTGCCAGGAGAATTCATGGACAGACTGGAGATGTGCACATGCACAGCGGACTCTCTACCTGCACTGACGTCTTTCTCCTCACCGACGCAGTGCGGTGACCTCTCCAGTCTCACTACACTGGCCCGTTCAGAGTCTTGCAACGGACTCCGAAACATTTTATCATAGACCAGAATAGTCGCCAAACAACGGTGTCCATTGATCGCTTCAAAGCGCCGTTACGGCGTACAGCTGACGATTTATTTTATTTATTATTAACCCATTCTGATGCTATCACACCAGCACCAGCACCTGCGGTGACTTCCCGAGCACTACATACCCCGAAATCCTCTGTTCCCCTTGACCATCTACCTACCCTACATCAACCCCAGGCAATCGACTGACGCGGCAGACAGATCAAACGTCCGATCCCTTTTTCGGATGTTGTAAACATTTGCTGTTTCCACTAACACGCCTTTTTCGTCTTTAGTGGCAATCATGCGTCTGGTCTACGAAGGTTTTGCAAAATCGCCAAAAAACCCAAACATTTTTAAAACCTAAAAACTGTATTTGCATTTGTCTTACCTACTTTTTCCGTCTCCGCCGTCAAACCACTTCCCCCGAACTTTGCCCACCCATCGAAGCTCTACCTTCAGGAAACTCAACCACTTGAACTTCTTAGGCAATCCTCGAGTGACTCGCCAACTGGCTCAACGCAACACAGGAGTGACTCGCCAACCGACTCAACGCAACCCAAGAGTGACCCGCCAGCCGGCCGAAGGTCCATTCCTGACCCAAGGAACTGTCGGTCGCCCTCGACCGCGGATGGCCACGGCCGGATTAGTCCGCAATCGCCTGGCTACGCGTTGCCGACGACGACGCCGGATTTCTTCCTGCGACAAGGATTCTGGACTTGGGTGCGATGGGGATGGTACCTCCCAAGAGCACCGTCAGGTCTGCAGCAGAGGAGATGTCCTGTCGGCCTTTGTTCTGGACTAGCCAGCTTTTTGCAGTCCAAACAGTCCGCGTCGAGGCCAAACGGTGATGCACTCTGGTCCACACGAGCATCATAAATAGTTAAAAATGCCTGGACCCAGCATCTCCGCTACACACCCCATATTGGAAACCCGTGTTCAAGCCCATGCTACTATTCGCACCCATCATCACCACCCGTTTCCCACATTAACAGCTCCATCGAAAATTTCCATCCTTCAGTCTTCTAGGAGAAGGCTCTTGTACTGTACCTGAAAACACTCAGTATTTTGCAACGTTGAATTTTACCGTTGCTTTGAACTTCAGAACGTCCACTTGTGTTACTTGTTGTCACAAATTGCTTTGATAAGTACCTTGCTGCACCCTTTCTCGCTCCTGTTGATTCGCGTCCTATTTTGTAGTCCGCACAATATTGGATTGTCGCCTCCAACTTCTATACTGTCCCGTATTTGATACGTGTCATTGGTTACTGACTAGTATTCCAGGCGCCACCCAACAGTGGCATCAAGCACACCGACCTGTTTGAACCAGCCACATAAAATCACTTGGGAGGTCGTCATCTTAAGCTCAAGCATCGGAGGTCCCGGCTAGATATCATGCGAAAATAATTTGCGAACCGCGTTGTTGGCAGTTAGAGCAATCTTCCCCTTCGTTGATGGACTAAAACGGTTGACACCTTCAAGAGAGGTCTAGACAAATGTTGGTTAGATCTTTGCCCAAAAATGTTTTAAACTTGTTGATGCTTGTTGCAGAGAACTCATGAAGGATAGAGATTCAAGCTCTTTTCTTTTTGCTTTGTTTTCTTTGCAGAAGCAAGCAATACAATTGGAAGTCGAAGTACCGGGGGCTCTTGGTTGCTTGTCAGTGCAAGAAACAGGGCGCTCGTTAGGCAGTAGCCAATACCGTTCTGGGAACCTGACCTGACCTGAACCGCCGTCAACACTGCACTTTGGTATTCAATGTGGGAAGAACTCCAAATATCAGATAAGAACTTGTATTAAACAACACTTATCGAGGTTAACAATTTTCGTCTTGTTCTTCTGCAACGGCATAGCAGCGCTGCTATAAAATAGAAGCGGGAGCTGCGGTAATGACAATCCAAATAATAAGTCGATTGTCTATTACACCACATGCCTTATAATTTGGCAACGTCTCCTGTCCCTGGCCATAACCCCCTTGTGCAGTCACTTCAGTTCAGCGGCTTCTTCGGATGGGTCGGTCATTTCGCCCTCGACTTGGGTGCTCTTCATTAAAAATGGTTCCAGATGGTTAAAATATATTGCTCTGGGCTGACTGGTTGGATTATGGATGCACTTTACGATTCACTTAGTATCTGACAGTACTCGCTCCAATACATAGGGACCCACCCACTCACGATGAAACTTTGTAGGTCCCCCATGGGTCTGAGGTAACCAAGCAAGGTCACCAACTCTGAGAGGAATGCTGAAAATCCTTTTATTCTAGTACTCTTTTTGATGGCGATGAGCATTTTACAGGTGTGACCGAACGGACTAATGTGCTCGTCGAAGCGAGTCCAGAAGTCTACTAACCTATATTGTGTCGTTTATTCGCCGGTCTTTCGGTATCCCAACGGCCGATATTTTTGTGAAGCTTTTCTCAGCTTTTGTGCGACCGCACTTAGCATACTATATCCAGGCCTGTCCACCATGTCTTTTGAGGGATATAGTGAAACTGGAGAGGGTTTTGCGAGTGGTTACAACGTTAGTGCAGAGTTTAAGGGGGCAAACTTATCCCCAACATTTACTTGGCTTGACTATGTACTTAATGCATCACCGGAACATTTGAGGAAACTTGATCCTCACCGTATCCTAACGGATAAGATTGGTCCAGACTTGTCCTGGCTGTTTACTTCTGCCAAGCTGCCTACTCTCCAGGTCACCAGGTAAAGCTGCGAAAACGTCGTTCTGACCGGAAACTCGCTTGTAACGCCGGGTTATTGGACTTTGGAGCTCGCTTTCGACACACGTCCCCAGAGATTCTACGGTCGAGGATTTCGAGCGTCACTTAAATGCTCCTGAGTGGCAGAACCTAACATTCTTCTCCTAAGCGATTTGTGTCTTCAGCTTTCTGTTTCTTCTCATACCCTGATCCTGTCATTATGTAGCTGACATCCCCCTTCTTGTTTCCTTAGCTTGCCTTCACTCTTCCTTACTTCATTTAGAACGGCCTGCCAAGGACTGCTGGGCAGAAAATGTGAGCAGTTGGTTGGGCAGGGTGTGATGCGCTCTCTGTTTTAGGATTTACAACATCTCAAACTGACCTATCAATTTGGTTCTACGATACGCAAAAGAAGAAACATTCCTGAGAATGTCCTATCGTTCCGGTCCCAACTAAACTTGAACTTGTATTCCATGCTGATGGCTGCAGCTGTTGAACTATGAGGAGGCGTAAATCGAAAGGCAAGCGTGACCTTTTTCCTGTCCACATGAAGCATGGTGTTTACATTATATAGTAATAAGCAGAAGGGATAATCCTTGTCAGCTTCATCACTTCCCGATCAGTATGAGGATCATCATTCATCATTATACTCGTCAGCTAGAGGTGGGAAACACCTCAGCTACTGTGCCGCAATACATAAATGAAAAAGGAAAATAAATACAAAACTTGCATGCCAGTTAAGCTACCCGCAACGGAGATCCTCCTCCTCCTCCTCCTCCTCATCATCATCATCATCAACGGCAGTACATCAGCCATTTGAACTGATGCTTCGCTGCCATACAACCATGAAGACATATGAACTAAAGAATAAGAAGAGGGAGAGAAGGGGGACTTACCTGAAAACCTTAATGCCCTAAACAAACATTCAGGATCAAGGCGCCTACACCTTGTGTTAACAACATAACGTCACAAACAGCTGGCTATCGTGCAAAGATAAGTCGGTATTGGCGAGACAGCTTCCTTGCGGCTTTCACTGCCACGCGTCCTAATCAACCATTACCCCGCAGATAACTCAGCAGCAAACACACTTTAAACAGGCAATCCGATTAGGAGAGGGCAGCAGACGCGTCACTGGTGTCTACTGGAAGCCATGTCCTGTAAAGTCTCGAGCCAAGCACAAGGCGAGTCATGTGGACTCCAGCTCGGAAGGCGAGACGGACCAGCGGTACCCAGTTTGGCCCGAGCCAACGCAACTTATTCAGTGCTATTTCTTGTTCTAGGGAGCTAGCATTATTATCACTACCTAGTACTCGCCTACGCACATCATCGTTGCGGACACGCTGGTGCCATCCGATTCCAGCAATGCTTCGCAGACAACGATGGTCAAAGACTTGAAGGCGCCTCAGATCTTCAGACCGAAGGGGCCAAGTCTCACTACCATAGAGCAGAACGGCCCTCACTGTGGTTTGTATACCCGGCCTTTCAGACGAAGGGAAACTCCCTTCTGTCGCCAAAGATGCCGCAGGTTCACGAAGGTAGCTCTGGCTTTTGCAATGCGTGAGCTCACGTCAGTTTCTATGCGCCCGTCATTGCTGACGCAGCTGCCAAGATAAGTGAATTGATCAACCACCTCGAGTTCCTCGTTAGCAAGCGTCAAGGGGTCATCAAGTGGCTGGTGGTCCTGTAGCACCACTTTGCACTTTGAAGGAGCGAAGTGCACAGCAAATAATGGGACCACTCTGGACAGGCTATTCAGGGTTGATTGTGCCGCCGCAACATCGTCGAAAAGCAAGATGATATTGTCCGCATGATCTAGATCAACTAACCTTCCACCAGCAACGAATAGGCATCGTTCCGGTAAACTACCAGCTGGCTACTAGGCAAAAAATTATTGTTTTACGCTAGGAAATGAGATCGTAGGTGGAGGGGGAGGCTAAAAGGGATGGTGAGGGACCAAGATACTCACAACACGAACGCCACTGAGGTCGGTTCCTTGCCATGTCAGCAAGTGTATCCAGTTAAACGTGTTCACCGTCTTTCGGACCCCAACTAGGGAGCCGCGACGCTACTACCGAGGCCAGCTCAGAAGTGAGGGCCTTTATTCCTCTGGACCGTCATGGCTTGGCCACTCCTCCTCTTCTTCCATCTACATCCCCGGTGAGCAAATAACGCACGTCGTGGAAGTCGATGGGCTGGCATGCGCAACACGTTGCTGAGCCATCGGAGCCTGGTGCGTGAAATGACGGTGCTGAGCGGTTCAGTTCCTTTTCCAGTGCCGTAAACAAGGCGTCGAACACGATCGTTACTCACGCGGTGTTCCCACCAGATGTGAGCCAAACTGCGAAGCCATCGATGGTCCAACGTAACTAGCCTCTTCATGTCCGCCGATCTTAGGGGCCAGGTTTCGCAACCGTACAGTAAGGTCGAACGTACCGCTGCATTGTACACTCTGCCTTTCAGGGCGAGAGTAATGTCGCGCCGCCGCCATAGGTGGCGAAGGTTAGCAAAAGAGCCTCGAACTTTTGCTATACGGTTCGTGATCTCGTTTTCGATCCCAAGGGCGCTGATACAATTTCCCAAGTAGTTGAATTTCTGAACGACTTCTAGCTGATCCCCACCAAGGGTTAGCGCAGAAAGCGATCCCTGCCAATCTTGGAGGAACGCTTTGCATTTCGAGGGTGCAAAGCAAAGCCCGAAGTGGCTGACAGTCAGTGCTAATCTGTCCAGCGCGGCTTGGCACGTCTGGGAGCTATCATAGATGAGGGCAATGTCGTCAGCATACTCAAAGTCAAGAAGTCGTTCTCCTGGGAGCAGTTCTACACTTTCCAAGTCATGTGCTGTAAACTCAATCTCCGTAACTTCGTCAATAGCGAAGTTGAAAAGGAAAGGTGAGAGTGAGCATCCTTGTCTCCCACCGCTGGAGATATTAAAGGGTGACGACAACTTGCTGTAAGCCCTCACTGTGCCCGAGCTCGGCCGGTGGCCGAGTGGTTGGTACGTTTGCTTTCCAACCATAAGGTCCCCGGTTCGAATCCGCGTAGGGGTGGGCGTCCTCGCGGTATACTCAGCCCGCGCGCGACTGGTGGTGGTCGCGCGGCAGCGAAGCGCCGTTACGGCGTATAAGCTGACACATTATTATTATTATTTATTATTTACGGGCACACCTTTCCTGAGTAGACAATTCCAAAGGGCACATCGATCAACCGATCGAAGGCACCTTTGATGTCGAGCAACATGACTACGGTGGGCCGCCGATATATGTGATGGTGCTCCAACGATTGACGCAAGGTGAAGATGTGGTCGATGCATCCACGACCCCGACGAAACCCGGCTTGCTCCTCACGAATCTGGCTTTCACGAGGGCCAGTCAGTCTGTGATGAATTATGGAGGCGATGGAGATCAGACCGATTTCTCTATGGTTGCCGCATTCCGAACGCGAGCCTCCTTTGAAGATGGGAACAAAAACGGAGCGGCTCCAGTCGGTTGACAGTCTCCTGCTCCCACAGTTTCACTATCAATTCATGTAAAACAAGAGCGGTGCTTCCGAATTTGAAGAGAGCTGGAGGAAGATCATTTGGTCCGACGGCTTTGTTCAACTTCAACAGTCCGATCTCACGTTCGACTTCTGAGCGAGAGGATGGATCCAAAGGGACAGCCCACGGAGCAGGGCGATCACTGGCCGGCGAAGAATGGAACAATTCAATGGATCGCTGAGGCACACAAATCATGGCACCACGGTAAGGTCCAGCCTCATTGCGATGGTCAGTATGAGGATGGTGCGTGTTATAGCTTAAGAGCATGTCACAGTAGGTGCTCACGATTTCACGGATAATAGCAAGACTCCGACATATAAAGCAAATGTAAATCCGACAGCTTAAAACTTTCCTCACTAGGAGCACTGACTACAGCCTCCGGTAAGTTATTCCAGTCTTTCACCGCTCGTGTGGATAGAGTGATCTCCTGACGGATATGGAGCCTCCTACGTTTAAATATTTTCCTAGCTGTGTCAAAACGTTGAGCTATCTCTGCCGATCTAATAGAATTGTTGGAGCTCAGCATCAAAGTCACCTCTGAGTATACCTTGTGTAAGTCAAATCCATGACGATGATGGCGGTACCCGAGTGAGAACATGTTCATGCGCTGGAGTCGAACAGAATAGGACAAGTTTCGAAATACTTTGGTTGATTTTGGCCCTCGCCTCTGAACTTCTTCAATCAAATCACACTCGAATTTAGTGCGAGGGTAACTTACCGGTAAACCATACTCGATGATGGAGCGCACGTGTGAAGCAAACAGGAGTTTGAAGATTGGAGCATCCCTGAACATTTAGCGCGGGAGAATGCTTGGATTCACTTCCGCCCCAAGGCAACCATGTTTACTGATCAGCTTGTCCCAGTTTCCTGAAGAAAACCGATTCCTATGCTGAACTACGATCTTTGTTGAATATATGACGGAGGATATGGGATAAATTTTAGATTGCACAGTC